GGTAGCTCTCCAGGAACAGGGTTGGAGCGAAAACCTACAGGAGGGTAGCTCTCCAGGAACAGGGTTGGAGTGAAAACCCTACAGGAGGGTAGCTCTCCATGATCAGGGTTTGAGTGAAAACCTACAGGAGGGTATCTCTCCAGGAACAGGGTTGGAGAGCCCTGAGCTACATTATATAGAGAAACAGAGAGAAACAGAGAGATGAGATGATGATGAAACTGGAACATGTTGTTTCTGCTTTCAAGAGAATCCAGCCAATAGATATAAATACGAGCCAGGTTCCATTTTGAGAGTGATTTCTGAATGTTCTTCACCAATGCAACGAGGCGTAATGGCGGCTAATGACTCCATAGAGTAGAAGATAATTAGTCTGAATGGTCCGAACTAACAGAGGCTATGTCCCAAATGGCACCCTGTTCCCTGTATACTACCAAGGTCCTATGGGCTCTGGTCAAAAGTAGTGCACTATAGAGAACAGGCTGGGTGACATTTGGGACGCGCCCACCCAGAGAGAGACACTGTGATGCACAGAGCTTCTTCTGTCCATGTTCATAACGGTGTCATTAAATAACATTAAAACCGTCCAACCTGATAACGTGATCACTGTGAAAGGAAGGAAGTGGTCTGATCTCACTACTAAGAGACTCAGCAAAGCAAAGAGCTCGTATGTCAGAAATAAATCCCATGTACCCTGGCATAGCATCGCTGTCCAATGAAAACCTCTTATCTCCAAAACAGAAACATTTCAGGAAATGGAAAAAACCCTGCCATATTTTACCATGAACAAACATACAATTATGAAACTTCAGAAGCAATATAAAAATATATATATTTGTCCTGCAGTTATGAAATGTTCAGAGTACATTGAGGGGAGTTACTGCTTTCAATACATGAACAAAAAAAAACAACGGCAAAAATGGATCCAAAGTTTATATCTGACAGCGAAGTAACTGCAAGATATGTGATTGTGCGTCCCAAATGGGTGTGAAATGGACATCGCAAATGGCACCCTATTCCCTATATAGTGCACTACTTTAGACCAGAGCCCATAGGGCTTAGTGCACTACTTTTGACCAGAGCCCATAACTCTCATTATATAGGGTTATATATTATATATATATATATATATATATATATATATATTAATATACACTGCTCAAAAAAATAAAGGGAACACTAAAATAACACATCCTAGATCTGAATGAATGAAATAATCTTATTAAATACTTTTTTCTTTACATAGTTGAATGTGCTGACATCAAAAACACACAAAAAGTATCAATGGAAATCAAATTTATCAACCCATGGAGGTCTGGATTTGGAGTCACCCTCAAAATTAAAGTGGAAAACCACAATACAGGCTGATCCAACTTTGATGTAATGTCCTTAAAACAAGTCAAAATGAGGCTCAGTAGTGTGTGTGGCCTCCACGTGCCTGTATGACCTCCCTACAATGCCTGGGCATGCTCCTGATGAGGTGGCGGATGGTCTCCTGAGGGATCTCCTCCCAGACCTGGACTAAAGCATCCGCCAACTCCTGGACAGTCTGTGGTGCAACGTGGCGTTGGTGGATGGAGCGAGACATGATGTCCCAGATGTGTTCAATTGGATTCAGGTCTGGGGAACGGGCAGGCCAGTCCATAGCATCAATGCCTTCCTCTTGCAGGAACTGCTGACACACTCCAGCCACATGAGGTCTAGCATTGTCTTGTATTAGGAGGAACCCAGGGCCAACCGCACCAGCATATGGTCTCACAAGGGGTCTGAGGATCTCATCTCGGTACCTAATGGCAGTCAGGCTACCTCTGGCGAGCACATGGAGGGCTGTGCGGCCCCCCCAAAGAAATGCCACCCCACACCATGACTGACCCACCGCCAAACCGGTCATGCTGGAGGATGTTGCAGGCAGCAGAACGTTCTCCACGGCGTCTCCAGACTCTGTCACGTCTGTCACATGTGCTCAGTGTGAACCTGCTTTCATCTGTGAAGAGCACAGGGCGCCAGTGGCGAATTTGCCAATCTTGGTGTTCTCTGGCAAATGCCAAACGTCCTGCACGGTGTTGGGCTGTAAGCACAACCCCCACCTGTGGACGTCGGGCCCTCATACCACCCTCATGGAGTCTGTTTCTGACCGTTTGAGCAGACACATGCACATTTGTGGCCTGCTGGAGGTCATTTTGCAGGGCTCTGGCAGTGCTCCTCCTGCTCCTCCTTGCACAAAGGCGGAGGTAGCAGTCCTGCTGCTGGGTTGTTGCCCTCCTACGGCCTCCTCCACGTCTCCTGATGTACTGGCCTGTCTCCTGGTAGCGCCTCCATGCTCTGGACACTACGCTGACAGACACAGCAAACCTTCTTGCCACAGCTCGCATTGATGTGCCATCCTGGATGAGCTGCACTACCTGAGCCACTTGTGTGGGTTGTAGACTCCGTCTCATGCTACCACTAGAGTGAAAGCACCGCCAGCATTCAAAAGTGACCAAAACATCAGCCAGGAAGCATAGGAACTGAGAAGTGGTCTGTGGTCACCACCTGCAAAACCAGTCCTTTATTCTTGCTAATTGCCTATAATTTCCACCTGTTGTCTATTCCATTTGCACAACAACATGTGAAATTTATTGTCAATCAGTGTTGCTTCCTAAGTGGACAGTTTGATTTCACAGAAGTGTGATTGACTTGGAGTTACATTGTGTTGTTTAAGTGTTCCCTTTATTTTTTTGAGCAGTGTACCGGTATATTATATAGGGTTCGCTATATAGGGAATAGAGTGGCGTTTCGGACACATTTAATATCTGAGATGGCATTGTTTTGATAGAGAATGTTTAAGAGTCAAATGCAACGTAACGTAATGTAATAAATGTTAGAATGAAGTGGAGCCCCTTTTAACATCTCACATGGAATAGGAGTCGTAGCTAGTGCAAATGCTTTCATTGATTTGTGCTACTGCATATCCCCGGTTCTATATTGCTGTTTCTGTAAACTGCTTCCTCTCTACATCTGCACACCAACTGAAATGCTGCCAGTGTAATTTGATGAGGGCCACGCCCTCTCTATTGACGCCTGGCTGCAACACTAATCACTCCTGTGAGTAATACAACACCTTGCAATGTCCTGATGACAACATGACTGTTTGAATGAAGCACTCTGCTGTCTGTCTCACATGATTACCTAGTCTCTGTGAGCAGCCAGCCAACCAGAGCGTTCGATATACACAATGGATTGTTTTTTTTAAAAAAAAGCCAATATTCACACCTATACCCAACAAAAATAGAAACGCAACATGTGAAGTGTTGGTCCCATGTTTCAAGAGCTGAAATAAAAGATCCCAGGAATTTTCCAGATGCACAAAAAGCTTATTTCTCTCAAATGTTGTACACAAATTTGTTTACATCCCTGTTAGAGAGCATTTCTCCTTTGCCAAGATCATCCATCCACCTGAGGTGTGGCATATCAAGAAGCTGATTAAACAGCATGATCATTACACAGGTGCACCTTGTGCTGGGGACAATAAAAGGCCACCCTAAAATGTGCGGTTTTGTCCCACAACACAATGCCACAGATGTCTCAAGTTTTGAGTGAGCGTGCAATTGGCATGCTGACTACAGGAATGTCCACGATAGCTGTTGCCAGAGAATTGAATGTTAATTTCTCTACCATAAGCCGCCTCCAACGTCGTTTTAGAGAATTTGGCAGTACGTCCAACCGGCCTCACAACCGCAGACCACGTGTAACCACGCCAGCCCAGGACCTCCACATCCGGCTTCTTCACCTGTGGGATCGTATGAGGAGGTGCTGAGGAGTATTTCTCTCTGTAATAAAGCCCTTTTGTGGAAAAAAATGTATTCTGATTGGCTGGGCCTGGCTCCCAAGTGGGTGGGCCTATCCCTTCCCAGGCCCACCCATGGATTAGGGCCTAATGAATCTATTTCAATTGACTGATTTCCTTATATGAACTGTAACTCAGTAGAATCTTTGAAATGATTGCATGTTGCATTTATATTTTTGTTCAGTATATATAAGAGGTCATCTTTACCTTTCGGCACATTGATTTTGAAGATTAAAATAATTATACTTTTTTTGCAAATAGTGCATGAAGCTGTACAACAACATAGACAAAAATACTCTGATAGTGGACGGAGCACTGTGAATATGTATAAATGTATCTTTAGAACGACCAGTTCCTTTTTAAAACTCCAGGAGAAACAGAAACAGTAAAGAACAGGAGAATTACAAGCTCATTCCAACAATAAGAAGAAAGATTAAGACAAAATGCTAATTTGATATGTCATCATCGTCATTCGATATAAAATGGTCCCATCTTGTGTTAAAGATGTCTTAGGGGATGACAAGGGGCTCAGAAGAGAGAGGGGTGTTATGGGGGTTGTAGTTTTCCCTCTTGAACTGAGCCAGGCAGTGTCTGTCTGAAGGACAGCGACAACAAGACGGGGGGGACGGGGGTCACTGAAAGCATTTGTGTATTGCTACATCTTTAGAAGGAAGGGGGATAAATACACAACTCAGGCCAGCAAGGTTCACTGAGAAAATACAAAAACAAAACAAAGTTGCCCCAAAAAAGGCAAAGATAAAACTGTTTTAAAGGCTTCATATTTTTTCTGACAAAAACTGAAACAACCAGGAAAGAGAAAACAAAGCAGAAACAAACAAAAAATTGCAGCAGGTAGTTAGTTTCAAATCTCAATAAAGCTGGACATAAAGCTGGACATAATCACTCAATACGTAGTTTGTAAAGAACAAGAACAAGAATGTTTCTCATGCAGATACTACGGGTCCTCTTCAGGGGGGTAAAGGAAGTGGGGGAGTCTGGGTAATGTAGTCATCATGCAGCTCTAGCATTGCAGTGTCAGTGGTGCTGGGTGGAGGAGGGCGGGGCTGAGCAGGTAGTGGGGGGGAGAGAGGGGGAGTGAGAGTGGGGGGTTGGAGGAGGGGCTGAGCAGGTAGTGGGGGGGGTGGGGTGGGAGGCAACAGCAGCAGATAACAAAATATTACCTCAGTTTCTCAAAAGAGGCCATGAGAGCCAAGTCCTTGTTTGGGTCCCTCTCCACTCCCCCTCGCTTGCCCTTCACAGTCTCAATTTTTGGGAACTTGGCACTGGTTTTGTGACGGTACAGCTTTTTGTGCGCGGGGCCTGGGTTAATAAAGTTGGGTTTGTCGAACATGTTGCAGCCCAGAGCGAGCTGGGGGAAGATGGGGTGGCAGGGGTTCAACTTGGCCTGGTTCTTTCCTGCCTTGCCCCTGGCCTTCCTGCCCCGTCCGACACCCGCGGCGCCAGCCCCCTTCTTGCCCCCCCTCCCATGGAGGATCTGGAGGGTCTTCATGTTGAGGCTGTTGGCGTCGGGCGGCAAGCCAGCCTCCAGCGGGTCCCACAGAGGCTCCACGGACGCCATCATGAACCTCTGGACCTCCGCCATGCCGGACACGATGTTGGACAGGATGTTGGACGGCTCCTCAAACTCCCGCTGCTCCTCCCCTCCCCCCAGGCTGGTGTTCCCCTCCAACCAGCCCCTAGGCCCGGTGCCGCTTCCAGACCTGTCCCCAGTGCTACCGTGGCTCACCCCCGCCTGCGCCTGGCCCTTGGCAGCCTTCTCCTCCAGCATGGCTTTGATCTTCTTAGAGGAGCGGCTCTGTCTAGGCGTCTTCACCTTCTCTGTCTTGGCTGCTCTGGAGGCCCGGCCTTTCTTAGGCCCCTGCTGTCCTCCTGCCGCCGCTGCAGCCTGTTTATAACCTGCTTTCCTCTTAGAGCGGCTGTTCTTCCCCCCCTGCTCCTCTCCGTTGAATGAGAACTGCCGCCCCTCCACCCCGTGCTGCGCCGCCTGCTGCATGATGTCACATCCTGTCACATGATCCTGGTACTCCGGTGCATCGCCCCTCGTCACCTGGGGGGAGAGGTTGGGGGTCTCCGGAGGCGACAGGGAGGACAGAGAGAAGTGTCTGAACTTGTCCGGGGTGAAGTTGGAGATGTCGAGGAGGTCTGAGGACTCTCTGAGGGGAGTGACGGGCTGACCCATGTCCTCCAGGCTCTGTTGGAGCAACACCATGGGGCTGCAGTGCTGCAGGTAGCTGTCTCTCCTCTCCTCCGTCTCCCCTCCTCCCTCACGATGGAGGCTCTGAGAGCTATAGTTGGAGGAGCAGGCTGACAGGGAGCCCACAGAGTCATAGCTGATTAGACAGCCATGGTCTGAGCAGAGAGAGCCTCTCTGGTACTGCACCTGCCTCAGACAGACACCTGACTGACACACCTGCAGCTCCTGTAGCTCCACCCCCGACCCTGGCTGCAGCCCCAGCCTGTCCCCCTCCACAAGGTAACTCTTCTCGTACAGCAGTCTGTCAGTCTCTGAATCCCTGCTGGCTGTAGTCTGACCCAGACCCAGACCCAGACCCAGGCAGGAATCCGCTGGGGAGGAGAGGGGTGTCGGGGCCGAAGCCCCCCTGGCTGTCGGGGTAGCTGGGGCAGAGATGGGGATGGTGTTGCCAGATGGAGTGGGGGAAGCTGGGGCAGAGATGGGGATGGTGGTGCCAGATGGAGTGGGGGAAGCTGGGGCAGTTTTGGGGGGACTGTTGGAGCTCTGACTCGGAGGGAGGGGAGAGGACACAGCTCTGGGTTAGCTGCAGGGAGGCAAACTGTTTCTCCTCTAGAGAGAGACCCAGGGGATAGTGCTGCCTGTTGGGCTGCTGGGGGTGGTAGGTGATACCTGCCCCCCCGGAGGAGACTGAGGCATTTAGTAGGGTCTGTAGGTACCCCCCTGGGATCACTGACACCCCCTCCTCCCTCTCCCCAGAAGGTACAGCTCGGTCAGAGGAGCAGGAGGAGGAGACACAGGAGGAGGAGATGCAGACAGAGTCGCAGGAGGAGGAGATGAAGGTGGTGTCAGCAGTGGGATCCAGGGAGGAGACAGGGGGGCTGATGTCTGCCTCTCTCACGCTGCCAGCAGGCTCCTGGTTGGTTAACACCCCAGCAGCAGCAGCAGTACTGCCATCCGCCGCTCCATTCGTCACGCTCCCCCCCTCCGCTCCTCCTCTTGCTCCTCCCTCCTCCATTGTCTTGTTACTCCTCAGCCTGGCTTGGCTCTTGAATTTCCTCCCTGTTTTCCCTCCTCCCATCCTCCTCCCCTCCCTCTCCTCTCTCTCCTGGGTGCGGCTCCTCTTGGCTGTTACGGTGTGTGTGATGTTCTGTGGTTCTAATGTTGCTGTTCCCCCTCCCCCCTCCGCTGTAATAACAGCCTGACCAGAGACAGAGGGGGTAGAACCCGAGTCCTGCGCTGCTGCTGGTCCCTCCCCTGTCCTCTGGACACACAGCCTGTTTGCTATCTTGTATTTCCGTTTGGGGCGGTGGCGGTGATGCTGTTTATCTCTGGACGCTAGTCGCAGCTGCTCCTCCCGCTCCCTCCTCCTCTCCTGCCAGAAGTCCTTCAGCGGAGACAGAGAGGAGTAGTGGCTCTCCGCGGCGGCGTCCAGGCTCACGGCAGCGTCCCCGGCAGGGTCCAGCCGGCCCAGATTCACAGACATGTGTCTCTGTCCTTTGAAGCGGTTGATGATGATGTACTTGATGATGACTGGCGGCTCCTTCTGGGAGAATTTCCGTCTCTTCTTGGGGCACCAGTCCACATCCTCCTCCCTCTGTCCCGCCGGAACCTTCTCTCTCTTCTCCGTGGCGTTTCTCTCGGTCTTCTCGATGGAGTTGACATCGTCACTGTAGCTGACCTTCCTTTTGGAGCGCAGGCCGTAGTTCAGAGAGTTAGAGGGGCTGAGGAGTCTCCTGGGCCCCCGGGGCGCACTTCCTCCTCCTCCTCCCCTCCTCTGGCCCGGCTGCGCCTCCTGCAGGGTGTCCGAGGAGGTGCAGGAGGAGTCGTCGCTGTAGTCCCCGTCCTCCTCGGCTGAGTTACTGAACTCAAACAGGTAGTTGACAGAGGAGGCGGAGGGGGAGGAGAGAGGGAGGGAGGGGGAGGAGAGAGGCGAGCCATGGGACCCCTGAGACCCCACTAGGGGGCTAACACCTCCCCCCTCCTCCCCCACCTTCCCCCCCTCTTCCCCCACCACTAGGCTCAGCTCCTCAGCTTTACACTCCTCCCCTGTCCTCCTTCCTCCTCCTCCTCCTCCTCCTCCTCCTCCTCCTCCTCCTCCTCCGTCCTCCCTCTTGGCACAGTTGACCAGGACAGAGGGGAAGAAGTTGAACTGTGTGTCCTCCTGCAGGACGTTGGTCTTCTCTCTCATGTTGTCCTGGAAGGACTCGTAGCGGATCTTTAGAGAGCACACGTCGCTGCTCAGAGTCGAGTCCTCGTCATCGTCGTCAAACAGGTTGTCAACGTCGTCCTCGGCGAATAGGTTGACTGACAGGTCGGTCTTAGAACACAGGTCCAGCAGCTCTATCTTGGACTCACTGATAAACGACTCGAAGTAACCCCAGTCCTGACCCGCATTGGCCAGAAGGACCTCCTCACCGCTGACCTTGTCCAATAGCAGCACCTCCTCCCCGTTCACTTTGTCCAATAAGAGGACCTCCTCTCTGTTCACCTTGTCCAGTAGCAACACTTCCTCCCCAGGTACCTTGTCCAATAGCAGCACCTCCTCTCTGTTCACCTTGTCCAGTAGCAACACTTCCTCCCCAGGTACCTTGTCCAATAGCAGCACCTCCTCTCTGTTCACCTTGTCCAATAGCAACACTTCCCCCCCGCTGACCTTGTCCAATAGCAGCCTTTCCTCCCCGTTCACTTTGTCCAATAGGAGGCCCTCATACAGGTTCTTGGTAGTGGGATCCTCTTCCTCCATCTTCTCTCCGTTGTCTCCTGTCTTGTCGTTAGCGGTAACGAGGGCGTGGCAGGTTTTGGTCATGGGGAAGCTGAGGAGCTGGTCTGACAGGAGCTGTTCCCCGAGGACCTGGCTCAGACACTGGATACTGATGTCAGAGATGGGGCAGGAAGTGGCCTCGAAGTCCTGGCGGCTTACCAGCCCCGCCTCGGGGTCAGGGGTCGTGGGGCTGGGGTCATGGATAGGGGCGGGGTCATGGATAGGAGCGGGGTCCCGGGTCTCGATGAAGCACCCCAGGCAGGTGGACGTGGCCTGTAGAAGACACTCCTCTGTCAGATAGGACACGCCCCCCAACTCCATCATGGTGAGAGGGGGGGGTGAGTGGGGAGGCAGGGGGCAGTCAGGGATCAGGCAGGGGCAGGGGGGAGGCAGGGGCAGGGGTCAGGCAGGGGCAGGGGGGATGCAGGGTAGGGGGGAGAGATAGAGGGAGACGGCAACATGGATGGCCCCACCACACAGCCTCAGGTCTCCTCTCTGCTGACACAACACTCCTGGGGGACAGAACAGAAACAACAGTCTCGGAATCAGTAACCAGAAGGACACATTCAGACAGAACAGAAAACAAAAGGGAGACAACATCAGTCTTCAGATAGATTCAGACAGAACAGAAAACACCAGGGAGAAAACATCAGTCTTCAGATAGATTCAGACAGAACAGAAAACACCAGGGAGAAAACATCAGTCTTCAGATAGATTCAGACAGAACAGAAAACACCAGGGAGAAAACATCAGTCTTCAGATAGATTCAGACAGAACAGAAAACACCAGGGAGAAAACATCAGTCTTCAGCTGATAACAATATTCATCATCATGCCAGCCTGGTTGACTCAACCATCTCTGTTAGAGCTGCAGTCACCACCCAGCTAACAACAAACGTTCCCACAACTTTAAAGAACATTCCCTTAAGAGTGTCATTAGGTCATTAAATAACCTTAAGATAAGAATGTTCCTGTGATGTGCGAGGAATGTTTCCAAGAGACCATCCCCTTAATGTCAAATAGGTCTTAGCCAAAACGTGGTTACCATGTTTTGAGAATTTAAGATATTAATTTTCTAGACACGTTTCATGGGAACGTTGCAAGAGCATTCACGTGTCCAGTTTTCTGTAGGTTAGGAAAATATTCCATCAATATCCCACCAAACATACAAAGAGCATGGTGACCACTGTCCCAATAATGGATTTCTCTAGGATGAGCTTATTGGGCCAGATTATTAACGAGCTAATCGAGGACTACAGGAAACGGAGGGCCGAGCATGCCCCAATTCACATCGACAGGGCTGTAGTGGAGAGGGTCCAGAGTTTCAAGTTAATCGGTGTCCTCTTCCTTACATTTTAACTATGAATTGTCGGGAAAGGGCTCGTAAGTAGAGTTACCACCCATTGAGTAGGGAGAAGACGAGATGAGAGGACATTGAGTAAGGAGGAGATTAGATGAGAGGACATTGAATTGGGAGAAGATGAGATGACAGGACATTGAGTCAGGAGAAGATGAGAGGACATTCCTGACTCAATGTCCTCTTGTCTTATCACCTCCTGACCCAATGTCCTCTCATCTCATCTCACCCTAAATCAATGTCCTCTTGTCTCATCTCCTCCTGAGTCAGTATCCTCTCATCTCATCTCCTCCTGACTCAATGAAAGGACATTGAGTAAGGAGGAGATGAGATGAGAGGACATGGAGTCAGAAGGAGATGAGATGTGAGGACATTGAGTCGGGAGAAGATGAGATGAAAGGACATTGAGTCAGGAGAAGATAAGATGAGAGGACATTGAGTCAGGAGAAGATGAGAAAAGAGGACATTGAGTCAGGAAGAGATGAGAGTGAAAGGACATTGAGTCCGGAGAAGATGAGATGAGAGAACATTGAGACAAAAGGAGATGAGATGAGAGGACATTGAGTTAGGAGGAGATGAGATGAGAGGACATTTAGTCAGGAGGAGATGAGGTGAGAGGACATTGAGTCAGAAGGAGATGAGATGAGAGGACATTGAGTAAGGAGGAGGAGGATTGAATCAGGAGGGGAGGACATTGAGTAAGGAGGAGATGAGAGGACATTGAATCAGGAGGAGATGAGAGGACATTGAGTCAAGAAGAGACGAGAGGTTAATTGAGTCTAGAGGAGATGAGATAAGAGGACATTGAGACAGGAGAAGATGAGAGGACATTGAGTAAGGAGGATATGAGAGGAGATTGAGCCAGGAGGAGATGAGATGAGAAGACATTGAATCAGTAGGAGATGAGATGAGAGGAGATTGAGTCAGGATAAGATGAGAGGACATTGAGTCAGGAGGAGATGAGATGAGAGGACATTGTGTCAGGAGCAGATTAAATGAGAGGACACTGAGTGTGGAGGAAATGAGATGAGAGAACATTGAGTCAGGAGGATATGAGATAAGAGGACATTGAGTCAGTAGGAGATGAGATGAGAGGACATTGAGTAAGGAGGAGATGAGATGACATTGAATCAGGAGGAGATGAGAGGACATTGAGTCAAGAAGAGACGAGAGGTTACTTGAGTCTAGAGGAGATGAGATAAGAGGACATTGAGTTAGGAGGAGATGAGATGAGAGACATTGAGTCAGGAGGAGATGAGATGAGAGACATTGAGTCAGGAGGAGATGAGATGAGAGGACATTGACTCAGGAGGAGATGAGGTGAGAGGACATTGACTCAGGAGGAGATGAGATGAGAGGACATTGAGTCTGGATGAGATGAGATGAGAAGACATTGAGTCTGGAGGAGATGTGATGAGAGGACATTGAGTCAGGAGGAGATTAGGAAATTGAGTCAGGAGGAGATGAGATGAGCAGACATTCAGTAAGGAGGAGATGAAATGAGAGGACATTAAGTAAGGAGGAGATGAGATGAGAAGACATTGATTCAGAAGAAGATTTGTTGAGAGGACATTGAGTCAGGACGAGATGAGATGAGAGGACATTGAGTAAGGAGGAGATGAGATGAGAGGACATTGAGTCAGGAGGAGATGAGATGAGAGGACATTGAGTCAGGAGGAGATTTGATGAGAAGACATTGAGTCAGGACGAGATGAGATGAGAGGACATTGAGTAAGGAGGAGATGAGATGAGAGGACATTGAGTCCGGAGGAGATGAGGTGAGAGGACATTGAGTCAGGAGGAGATTTGATGAGGAGACATTGAGTCAGGTGGAGATTTGTTGAGAGGACATTGAGTCAGGAGGAGATGAGATGAGAGAACATTGAGTAAGGGGGAGATGAGATTAGAGGACATTGAGTTAGGTTGAGATTTAATGAAAGGACATTGACTCAGGAGGAGATGAGATGAGAGGACATTGAGTCTGGGGACGATTAGATGACATTGAGTCAGGAGGAGATTTGATGAGGAGAAATTGAGTCTGGAAGAGATGTGATGAGAGGACATTGGGTCAGGAGGAGATGAGATGAGAGGACATTGAGTCAGGAGGAGATGAGATGAGAGGACATTGAGTCAGGAGGAGATGAGATGAGAGGACATTGAGTCAGGAGGAGATTTGATGAGGAGACATTGAGTCAGGTGGAGATTTGTTGAGAGGACATTGAGTCAGGAGGAGATGAGATGAGAGAACATTGAGTAAGGAGGAGATGAGATGAGAGGACATTGAGTTAGGTTGAGATTTAATGAAAGGACATTGACTCAGGAGGAGATGAGATGAGAGGACATTGAGTCTGGGGAAGATTAGATGAGAGGACATTGAGTCAGGAGGAGATTTGATGAGGAGAAATTTAGTCTGGAAGAGATGTGATGAGAGGACATTGAGTCAGGAGGAGATTTGATGAGAGGACATTGACTCAGGAGGAGATGAGAGAACATTGTGTCAGGAGGAGTTGAGATGAGAGGACATTGACTCAGGAGCAGATGAGATGAGAGTGTACTGAGTCTGGAGGAAGTGAGATGAGATGACAGGACATTGATTCAGGAGGATACGCGTTGAGAGGACATTGAGTCAGGAGGAGATGATATGAGAGGACAATGAGTCAGCAGGAGATGAGACGACATTTAGTCAGGAGGAAATTAGATCAGATGACATTGAGTCAGGAGGAAACGTGATGAGAGGACATTGACTCAGGAGGAGATGAGATGAGACGACATTGTGTCAGGAGGAGATGAGATGAGAGGTTATTGAGTCAGGAGGAGATGAGAGGACATTGATTCAGGGAGAGATGAGAGAACATTGAGTCAGGATGAGATGAGAGGACATTGAGTGAGGAGGAAATGAGATGAGAGGATATTGAGTCAGGAGGAGATGAGATGACAGGATATTGATTCAGGAAGAGATGAAATGAGAGAACATTGAGTCAGTGGGAGATGAGATGGGAGGACATTGAGTCAGGAGGAGATGAGATGAGAGGACACTGAGTCAGGAGGAGATGAGATGAGAGACATTGAGTTAGGAGGAGATTTGATGAGAGGACATTGACTCAGAAGGAGGTGAGATGAGAGGACATTGACTCAGAAGGAGGTGAGATGAGAGGACATTGAGTCCGGATGAGATGAGAGGACATTGAGTCAGGAGGAGATTTGATGAGGGACATTGACTCAGGAGGAGGTGAGATGAGAGGACATTGAGTCTGGATAAGATGAGAGGACATTGAGTCAGGAGGAGATTTGATGAGAAGACATTGAGTCTGGAGGAGATGAGGAAATTGACTCAGGAGGAGATGAGATGAGATGACATTGAGTCAGGAGGAGATTTGATGAGAGGACATTGACTCAGGACGAGATGAGATGAGAGGACATTGAGTTAGGTGGAGATTTGATGAGAGGACATTGACTCAGGAGGAGATGAGATGAGAGGACATTGAGTAAGTAGGAGATGAAATGAGAGGACATTGAGTCAGGAGGAGATGAGATGACAATGAGTCAGGAGGAGATGAGATGAGAGACATTGAGTCAGGAGGAGATGAGATGAGAAGACATTGAGTCAGTAGGAAATGAGATGAGAGGAGATTGAGTCAGGGTAAGATGAGAGGACATTGAGTCAGGAGGAGATGAGCTGAGATGAGAGGATATTGAGTCAGGAGGAGATGAGATGACAATGAGTCAGGAGGAGATTTGATGAGAAGACATTGAGTCTGGAGGAGATGAGGAAATTGAGTCAGGAGGAGATGAGATGAGCAGACATGGAGTAAGGAGGAGATGAAATGAGAGGACATTGGGTCAGAGGTGATTTGTTGAGAGGACATTGAGTCAGGAGGAGATGAGATGAGAGGACATTTAGTGTGGAGGAGATGAGATGAGAGGACATTGAGTCAGGAGGAGATGAGATGAGAGGACATTGAGTCAGG